TCCAGTTTTGGGCTCCACAATTCCAAAAGGATGTGGAGAAGCTTGAGAGAGTCCAGAGAAGAGCCACGCGCATGATCAGAGGTCAGGGAAGCAGACCCTACAATGACAGGCTGAGAGCCCTGGGGCTCTTTAGCCTGGAAAAGTGCAGGCTCGGGGTGATCTGATGGCCACCTACAAGTTTATCAGGGGTGACCACCAGCATCTGGGGGAACGTTTGTTCACCAGAGCGCCCCAAGGGATGACGACTAGGTTGAATGGTCATAAAGTACTTCAAGACCGTTTCAGGCTGGACATAAGGAAGAATTTCTTTACTGTCCGAGCCCCCAAGGTCTGGAACAGCCTGCCACCGGAGGTGGTTCAAGCACCCACGTTGAACACCTTCAAGAGCAAACTGGATGCTCATCTTGCTGGGATCCTATGAACCCGGCTGACTTCCTGCCCTTTGGGCAGGGGGCTCGACTCGATGATCTTCCGAGGTCCCTTCCAGCCCTAATGTCTATGAAATCTATGAAATCTTACTAGTAGATTCAAAGCATCTGTACATGTGCACAAGTTAGTGTCCCAGAAGGTATCAAGACATAAGTTTACAGCCGATTTCTAGACCATATCATGGTCTTGATTTGCTAGGAGTGAGAATTAAGCGTGACCGTAAAGAAGTGTATGTTCAGATCTGTGCATTTCAGTTGAAAGTGAAGGAAAGATTCTCCGCGTGGTGCTGGGGAAGGCACATGCAAGCAAAGAAGAATGGTTCCTTAGGAAACAATTTACAAATGGAAGCATCCTGGTCCTGTGAATAATTACACTGCACAAGTCGTCAGAAAGCCAGTGTATTAAGGGGCATAATTTGTCCTTTTTCTGCATGCACAGACTTGGTGCAACATTATCAATTCTCTTGTGTCAAAAAGCCCTCTTTATAACCACCAAATTTCCAAGGAAACCTTACCCATTTGTACTATTCCTTTTGGAGGTGAAAATATCTCAGTGCCAGAACATTATCTTAACTTCTGTTCCAGAGAATTACATATAAATAGTTGCTTTCATACTTTTCTTATTGTTATTCCCCGGTGGGGTTGTCATTTAAAGATGAAATCAGAATTTGTTCAGCCAGAACAGTGGCAGTCCTTGGGTCTGTTCTGCCTCTTCGGATTTGCAAGGCAGACAGTTGGAGTTCATTAAACACATTAACAGCCCAACTCTGTCATGACTTGTACTGTAGAGACATTTTACATTAGTGTCACTCACTCTCCTCAAAAATCTTTCTGAAATGAAGTCTTGTACCAAGTCCCTACTTCCAATTTGAGAACTATGGGGGCTTATCACACACTTCTGCTTATATGTATCTCTAGGACACTTTTGTATAGAGCTTTGACTGGATTGAATAATTTGAGGTTTACAGATACTCATGTCTGTGTCTACAATCGATGGATTCAACTCCATCTCCTCTCAGGGAGTGACAAAACTGGTCTCCCAGGGGAAGTCCTGTCTTTTTGTCCTTGTCTGGAAGGATGGTGATCATGGTGCAATGAAGTGTTAACATTGATGAAAACAAGGAAACCTTGTAGTACCATTAAGACGGAAAGCCCTAAGATTAAAAAAAAACCCCAGTATTCATTGGAGGGGGTTGTACTCAGACAGGTGCTGCTTTTCTTCATGTCTCTATGTTTTTGGTTAAGCGTTTAACATGAAGATCAGAAGCAATTAACTTTATGCAAGGTGTTTGCAGGATCTTCTCATCTTGTATTTAGTAGACTAAAGAAGAACGTAGAACAGTGGTTTCCATTATAATGCTTATAATAAGTATTTTTTTTTTTACAGAGTGGTTTGTCAGGCCTTGGGGCAGCCTCATCTTTAAGAAAGGCTAGGAAAGAATTTGGTAAACCCATTTCTACCACTGAGCAGATTGACCTGGAGAAAGGTAAATCATGTTATTAAAGTAGTCTTACAGCTGCCTTACTGTAAGAGGCACATTTTCAGTCAGACCTTAACTATGCCTCTATTTTTATAGGGACAAAAAGGAGTGAATACAATTTTACACAATCAGTGATTATTAGGTTACTTGGATGCTAGACTTCCAAGCTGCACTTTCAGACTCAGAAATTGAATGCCTACTATAAATGAACTAAGCTGTAAATGTAATATTGTTGCCTCAGAACTTGCACCCACAAAATTGAGGCCTGTGGCTGAAAGTCCAGCTCGAAATCTGTTTTGAATCCAAGATCTACTTAAAGGCATTTAATAGTATGTGAGTAAGCCCAGCTTAGGGAAATTCACGAGCCTAATATGTTTCATAAGCATCAAAACTGGAGCTTGTATTACATTCAGGAAAGATTCATCACTCTTAATTGATTAGACATTTTTTTCAGCTGACTTAATCCCAGCGTTCTCTCAGGCATCAGACCACTTTATGGACGAGCTGCCTCCACCAGCCCAGGAGCTACTTGATGAAATTGGTAAGAGGCATTAAAACCCAAATGCCATGCATCTTGTCAGTTATATTTTATGTCCTCAGTTCCATGTTGGTGGGTGATCAGGATTTCCCAAAACGATGCGCTAATAAAATGCATATGCATGCTTTCAACCCTTTTTTGGCCAGGGGAAGAACAGTAAATTAGATATCAATAACTTAAATAACTGGCTCTGAGCTCCATAATGAATTAAGCTTTGGGGCTTCTGATTTTACAAATTTATAAGCATCACAAAACCATAGCTCACAATAATCCTGCCTGGTGACGGCAGTCAAACTGCTGAGCGTAGATGTAATTTAACATTGAAACAAGCTCTGTGTATACAGTCAGACTGAAATCTTCAAAGATGCCTTGGGGATTTGCATGTTTCCCATTCAAATTAATGTGAGTTGGACATCCATCTCCCTCAGGTGATTTTTGAAGAGATCAGTCTCAATGACTTACATTTCTTCGTGTAATCGCATACACCTTCAGACAGAGAATACTCGCAGAGCTCTCCCATTATTTCCCTGTCCTATATTACATCAGATATTCCCTCCATTATATACAATTACTTACTGGTCTTCAGCACTTTATGTACATTGTATTCCATTATGTTTCTGCAGGTTATCATTTAAAATTCATGCATTTGCAAACAAACGACATACTCAAAATAATCTCTTATTTCTTAAGGCATAGGAATTGGCAAAAATGGTCATGCCGGGTTTTCTTCATCATTTACAATTAGTTACCATATTTATAATGTGTTTGCAGAAAATGTACTAAATTGCAATACCGTGGAGAAATCACTGCGTTTGTATGTGAAACTGAAGGTAACAGATTCAAAGTGACATATTCCTGGTCTTGTCTCCTGTCTAACTTTCCTAGTGAAAGGAGACAGATCAAGCTGTATTAGTACTTCCTTCTGAAACCCTGAAGAGTATTCATTTTGGAATTACATGTATTGACATATCTAGTCCATTTGTTTCCACATACACCAGACCAAGATGACAGGAAGCTGGCACAGGATGGGTAGTTTGTGATCAATGCCAATTTATAAGATTTAAATTATGAATCAATTGCAATTCCATGTTGTTTGGCTGGAGCAAGTAACACATTGCCCAGTGTGTCATGGAATGGATTTAGAACGAGCATCTGAATCAATAAAGAAATATGTGCTGTTTTTTAACAGAATATTTGAAGCAGCAGACTGCTGCCTCTCAGGAGAAGGGATCATGTAGCAGCAGAGTGCCAGTGAAAGGTTAGTTGTTGAAAATTTACAATTTTGAGAAGATTATAAATGCAAACAACCTTTGTGTTGCTGCAGAGCAGTTCTTGTTCTGAAATAAATGACTGGGGTAATAGCTGCAGGTATGCATCTAAGCTTTTATTTACTGGCTTTTGAGGGATTTGTACACTCTCCTAGCATAGATATTCAGAAGAATTCGTCTTTTCCACAGAAGGCTGTGAGCAAAAGCGTACTTACCAGGGTCTGCATCCTGGATGGCAGCAGCCGCAAGGGGTGGTGGCAGAGGCCAGGCTGGTTGCAGCAGCAGTGGTGGCTGGGTTGGCAGCTGCTGCCATTCTTGCGTCCCCTTGAAGTGGGTGCCCAGGGCTGGCATTTCCACTTCAAGAGCAAATCAGTCAAGAAGAGTGCTCAGTACAGCCTCTGTTGCTGTAGCAATACAACTTTGTATGTAGATTAGTCTCTTCTATTTCTCAGTCACTGTAATGAATTAACCCCTTTGGTCACAAATATACTGCAAGAAAATTCCAGCTACCTGGAACATGCTAATGGAACCAGTATTGTGTTCCATGTTCTGGTTTAGCAGACCAAAGGGAAGAAAAATGAATCTCCCAAGCCCTTGAACTTCAGAATGGTGACAGATGGGAACCATTTTGAGATACCAGGTCAAACTGTCAGGTGAACAGAAAATCTTGATGGTCTCTTTGCTCACTATTAATGAGGCAGAAAGGGAAGTGGAAAAGCAGGTGAAAAAGAAACGTCAGCTATCCTATATGCGGACTGAATAGGCATTTGAGGATGATACTGACACTTGTCTGTGTTATGCTACAAGTTGTTTTAGATCTTTACCCATTTAAATTTTTTACCCAAGGTAAAGAAGCCACTGTGACTGTTTATTCAGAGGGTATCTTGTTTTTAGGTGATCAGGAATGCAGCATCCTGTATTGCTTGCTGTTCAATCAGTGTGCCTTTGTTCTATTTGCATAAAGTACAGCTATTTCAGACTCCATGCTTGTGACAGCCTGCTGCTTTCTTCTTATCATAGCTTAGCAGAAGGTGACTACATAAACTCACATGCCACAGGGAACAGAATTTACTGAGATAAGTCTAAATATTGTTGGACTTGGCTAACTAGGGCAACAAAGCTAACATCCACAGGTCCTTGATTTTTCCCCATGTTGGTTGGTAAAGGGAAAAGATTAGATGTATTTCCCCTTATATTTTCCATTTTAGTGTTAATTTCTGTGAATATAAAAATATGGTCGAGTTCTCTACTTACCTGAATCGTGCTATCGACAGTTTCTAAAAATAGAGTAATTGTGAACTTATTTAATTGTCAGAAAACCAGATGATGGGGTTGGGATGCTAAAGAAATAGATGATTGAAAGTTTCCCGAGTACAATAAGATATACAAGCAGTGTAATTTCTTTAGCCACTTCATTTGTATCCACTGACATTAAAGTTTCTCTGTTTATGTGAATAGCTCCCAGTCAGTGTCAACTGGCAGACAAAGAGGAAGCAGAGGAAATTGAAAATCAGGGAGAAGTAGATCATACTGCCTGGACTAAAGAGACATTGAATCAAACAGAGGAAACAGAGAGGTACTGAAAGGGAAGAATAAGGATGTTCCTTCTAAAGAACTTTATATATCAGGTTGGAAAGAATAAACATAGAGTTAATTCAACAGCGGGTAGGTGATTCTGTGCAGGTAGTGAGTGAGTTGTCCACTTCCATTATCCTGCTCATCATTACTGGGTGCTGCTTACTTCTGTTCTGCACACCTCAATTAAATGATGATACTTGATTCACATGTGCTTTCACAGTATAACAAGCATTCAGGATATGATTCTCACTTACATTCAGATCCTGTTACACAGGGCTTTAAAGTGGCAGCTTTATGTTGGCTCATAAGAATCTGCAAGAAAAAGTGACAAAAATGGGTGTGAAACCGATAGGCCTGTTTTCCAAGCTGTAGGAAGCACAAAATGAAACTGTATAAATGTTGACAAATAAGTTTGGGGGTTTTTTTTCAAAAAAGCTTTCAGTTTTATTCATCTTGGGTAATTCAGGAAATGGAAATGGTTGTTCAAAATGTACAATATCTAACTTGACAGTGTCACTCCCTTCAACAGGGCTCATTCTACTCTTGATGATGCTTTAGAAAGACTGCTCCACCCGATTGCTGAGGCTGACAAGGTCCAAGGAGGACCTGAGGGACTTCCTCTCAGGTTAGAGGATAACTGATTTTCATACATTAAGTTATCAAGTTTACTGTGGTTTCATTTTGTGTATAAACCTGTGCTGGGAGCTCTAGAAATTCAGCTTTCAGTCAGCTGGCAGCAGTGCATTACAGAGCTCAGCAGGAGGTATCAATCTGAGAGGGGATACAGGACACCCACTGCTAGACAAAGAGAAAGGAAAATGTTGTTAAGATGGTCTCAAGGCAGAAATTCAAATTGTCCATCGCACTGAGAGCTGGAAACGAGCTGCTTCAGCACTGACTTTTGAAGCATATGGGAAAGAAGAATGCGCATTAAAAAAGAAAGAAAGGACACATGCAAGATTTTTTTTTATTTGAAGGGATCTTATGGACAGAGTTATGATTAAGGCCTTGCTTTTTGGCATGACAGCGTGGGAAGTGGAAATAATGAAAATGAGAAAACTTGCTGGAATGTAGCTTAATAGGAGCCTGTGTGTTGCATATAGCTTCCTCTGCCTTCTTACAACCAGTAGCCACAGACTAATATATTCTTTGGAAACTAGGGGCAGTTCTCAGTAGACTGCTCCTGTTTGCGAGCTGCCAACAGTTACTTATACATCTCCTCCTAAAGGGCAACATGTCATCCCACATAAATTTGTTTGGTATCAGCATTTCTTTGCTCACCCACTGCTACTATCCTGAGGACTAAAAAGGACTGGACAGAGAGCAGGCAGGATCCCTTCAGTACAAATGCAGGCATGTTCATGGTGGGCCTAGTGGGCTTTGGATGGGGCCCAGAGAACATCTGAAGTTGCAGGGATCTGCTGAGAGAAAGAAGTGAAAAGCTGTGCAGTGGCTTTCCCCCTCCATTATCCTGAGCATTTCTGTCTGACTTATTTGATAATTCCTGATCCACAAAGGAGGGTGCTGGGGGATCGCTGGAGTCTGACTGTAAATGTAATGCATATCTCCAAACTGATCTCCTGGCTCTGCGCACCAGAAGGCCAGAGCAAAACTCAGGCACTTAGCTCTTTCAGAGGCTTATATTTTAATAGTCTCTATTTCAGCTTCCCTGAGAGAGAATATAAAATTGTGATCTGACACACAAATCTCTGTCATTGAAGGGCAACAAGCCTTAAAGATCAAGGAGAGGAAGGAATGAAGAGTGGAATAGAGGAAAGCAGTACCAGGGCAGAAAGCCGAGAGACAGAAAGCCGTGCAGGGAATACTGAAGGTCTTTTTTTATCCGTAAAGATGCTATATACTGTGCATGGCAATATCTTGTTTACTAGCCTGGCAGCCCTGACTTTATTTGTAATAAATAGCTTGCACTGAGCAGGTCTGTTAATAGATATTGTTCTTCGACTGCTTCCCTTGCCCTTAGGAGCACAGAAATATTGCTTTTGCCCTAAGCTTTCACAACAGAGGAAGCTGCTTTGGAATTAAATTCTCTTATATATTTTTTTATCTTTGATTTTTATTATTGTTGATGAAAAGTGTTAGACTGAGCTTGGAGGACTCTCCCGCGAGTTACAGAGCTGCCTTTCACAAGTGGAGTGAGTGCAGCTTCCCACACTGGTCCTTTGGCATGCTTTAGTGGGACCACTTGTTCTACAATCTTGCCTCCTTGGCTAAGACGTGCTAAAGCTTTGACTGTTAACCTGGATTAGATTTGAACCTGTGACATGGGTACTAGTATTAAGGAGTCCCTCAACAATCAGATTCCTAGCCTGTTCTTTCCCCCTCTTCTACCTCCTAGAAACAAGAAGCAGAAGATGGGTTCCTTTCTTCTTTAGAGGAAGGAGTCTTAATTAGCTGCCTCTGTTCTTTAAGCATCTGAAAGGTGAAGTGGCTTTCCACTGATAGCTCCTGCTCATACAATCAAAACCAATTTATATGGGCTCTTTGAATTGGGCAGAAGCAGCTCTCCTGTACCATATGGCAGCATAGCATCAGAGACGCTGCCACCTTGTTGGTGCTGGTTCTTCAGGCAGGAAATATGGCAAGAGTGAACTAAAATTCAGGATCCAAAAATTGAAGAAAAAGTGGAGGTTTTAGTGCAGATGAGCTCCTTCTAATTATACATTAACAACACCCCTTGCCCAGTCAGGGATAGCATATGGGATGAGTAGTGCCAGACAACCACATAATAATGAAGCAAGCTGACCTAATTAGGTCAGGATACAAACAACTGCCAAAATGACAGAATCAGATGGGGATGCTAGCAACTCAAGTCTTCTTGTGCTCTGACTGGCCGTGTTGATTGTACATTAGTGTCTAAATCCTTCTGAACTCTAGACCTTTACTAGAAGAGTTAAAATAGATGCCCTGATGGACACTGTGCTTTTCCTGTGTGAACAGGAGAATGCAATCATAAGGTTGTAGGCCTTGATTTTTGAAAGTGACCTTTGATTTTCAGGGCTTAACAAGAAAGGACATAGAAGAACCTGATGTTCAGAGGTAGATGTTAGCTTGCAAGTGAGATGCCCCAAATCTGAAGTTCTCCAGATCACTCGTCCCTTCTGAAAACGTTGACAGTTACTGTCTAAACACACCCATTGGAAATGGAAGGCTCTTGTCTGCCACACGTATTAACAGTCTTGGGCCATATTTAGTGGAGTAGTTCAGGTGGCAGAATCAGCCCATAACTACTACATGCAGGGAATCCTTCCCACCGCTAGTGATTCTGCAAAGAACCTGCAGCACAGTCTGCCTTTTCAAAGAGTGTCTAATTGCTGCTCGTTTCTGATTAAGCTGCAGTGGACCCAATAAGGGATCTGCAGCAGCAATCTCAGCAGGTTTATTACATGCTGACAACAAAACTCCAGAAGTATTGGGGCACTCAGATATACACGTTCTTATCACTTCCGTACTGGATTTATTTCCTTTCCAGCTACATATCTCGAAGATCAGAAACCCAAGTTGCGGCAGCGGCTACCTTGGACTTCTCCAGTCAGGTGAACATCTTTTAGATCTTTGTACATGTGAAAGTTTGTTCTGGTGGTCCTGCCGATGAGTACTCCAAAATTCACAGTAAGCTTTCTCAGCCTAAGTAAAAAGGAGGACAGAGACCTATCTCAGTGTGGCATTTAGTTTAAAAGTAAATGGCACTGAAAAGGCCTACCACAATTTGGGGGTTCTTGTATTCTCCTTAACTTCTGTCCCAAGTTAAACTCTGTAGAAACCGGGCCTTTTGCAGAAATGAGAGAGCCCGTGTGTTCTCTTGCTCTGACAACTTTGGTTCAGGAGCCAGAGACAGTGAAACCTCATTTGCTGTGACTCCCAATGAGCTTTGTGTGTCTGTGTGTGCGCGCGCGCGTGTGTGTTAAACGCATTTTTTTAACCTTATTTTTTCTTTTCCAGGGTAATTGTCTTGGATCAGAGCAGCCCTCCTAAGTGATTGAAGTAAATAGCTAAATAAAAGCCAGCATGTTTTTTGTTATCTTCCCCATTATACAGTACCTGCCTCTGTGATTTGCAACCCTCTCCAGCACACAAGCAATATTACAGTGCTTAGTCTTCCCTAAACTATAACAATAGATAAAAATGGACCAAATGCTTTGCTCTCCAAACACATCTGGTACATTAATTTTTGGTTCATTTTTATGCAGCCACTGCTTTTTAATGAGAGGCAGTGCTCCAAATAGTATTGCAGAATGGAGTTGTTTTCTGGATACAGCCTTCCTGTCAAGCCTTTCGGCTTTCGTTTTTTCTCTAGCGCTCATGCTCACCCTCATAGGCAAAAGTATGCCTTGCTCTGTTGCATTATACGGTTTCCAGTATTATTGACAAAAATGATTGTAATTCTTTAAATTGATGCAGTGGCTGCTCTTTCTCAACGCTGAGGAGAGGAGCGCTCCTGTTACAGCCCATGTGATGTGTGGTTTTCTCTGTTCATTAGATGTGACAGGATAATTTCTTGTTTTCTCTTTTCCTGGTGCTTCCGTAATCGAAATTGAACCGATTTAAATGATTAAGGGGATTGATCTTTGTGCAAAAAGTGAATAACTGAGAAAAAGCCAGTGCCCTGCCAGGCAGTGTAAAGGCAGCATAACATATCTGCTAGCTTCAGGCAGGAATGAATGGGAGAATAACCAGTTAAAAGCAGTAAGGCCTCCCTTATTTACTCAGGCCATGGGCTGGATGAGTCTGGGTCCCATTGATTTAACTGCACTTTGGCCCATAGGAGTCTTTGTGACAGCTCACTTCTGCCTCAGGAGTGCTTTTAAGTGTGAATTTACCCCTTGCTGCTTCAGCACAAACATCTTCTTGCTTTTTGTTAGGTTTCAGTTGCACATTCAGGTATTTGGCACCCTGCATGTTTCTCTCTTCCCTGATGGCAGTGGGAAACTGCATGCCTGACACTGTTACCTGGGTTCATTTATCTTAATGTTAACAATACTAATAAAAGACTTCTGACTTCAGTATCCTGGCGTGTGGTATTTCTTCCTACTTTGTTGCTTCTTTCTTTGACTAACTTTTTCATTGGAGCCAATGCAAAGTGTGATCTGAGCCAGGCATTTTTGTGCCCCTGCTGAGTCCCGGAGGAGTGCCTCTCATAC